GTTTATGAAATAACATTCGTTTCTAAGCAACGGCTGCAAAACAGACAACGGAACGATGTCCGTTGTTAGGCAGCAGATTCTTAATAAACAAAATTAGACAGCCGCTGCTAGGGAACGTCTCGGAAAGCACGTTTCTGCGGAAACAGATATTCATGCAATAGAAGAACGGTGTTGTTAATATGGTCCGTGCCGAGGAGTTATAAGAAAGACACTTTGGGGCAAACAGGTCAGTTCCGCACGGGAGTCTGTGAATAGAGCTGCCATTCAGAGAGGGCTTGAGCGCCGAAGCTGAAGAATCTCCACTCTTAGAAGCCGTTACCAAGGAACGACTGGTGAAGACACAGCAGGCTTGAAAGGACGTGGTGTGTGCTGTAGATCCGAGTCTTGTGTATAAGTGGTCAATAAATCTAATGTCCAATCCAAAGCGCCGTCTATAGTCACTCATACATGTGGCAATATATGTATATATATAACTACCTTGTAGAAGGTAAATTTGTCTCTGTGCTTAATTGGTTAAGCACTATTCCATGAAGATATGGGGGAGTGGAGATATAGCCTCACCATTCTTGACCTCGGTACAAGATGGAGGTGAGTGGTCGGCTTCACGCTCCTACAGCTTTACCACCAAGGAGAGCACCCCTGGTACCCATTGGATAGGAGGCTGGGAGGGCCCCAGAGCCGGTGTGGACGCTGTGGAAAACAGAAAAATCTTGCATTCCCGGGAATCGAAGCAGAGCCGTCCAGGACGTAGACTGTCTCTGTATCGACTGAGCTATCCCGTCTTCCCCCTTAATGTTAACTGACAACATAAGGCTCCAGTACGCTTCTTTTATTCCACTGTTAGGTGACGCTCTAGAAATTTGATTCAGTAGATGGCAGAAGCGAAACCCTTTCGGCATACCCGATATCATGACAGGTTTACGCGATTTTTCTCGCTCTCTTCAAGTTTATGATGGGATTGGGCATTCAAATTAGCCACGACTGCTTCCTTCCACTTCCACATTCTTACGAGTTACCATGCATAGTTAAAAACTCCGTGGACTGTAGTCCGCAAGCGAACTATATCGACCGAGCGACCGCCGCTTGTCGGCGAAGTTAGTGTCAATATTGATCCGTTGCGCTGATCACGTAACACTCTCTATCAGCAAAAGTTGACACTAACCATGCATAGTCACTTTTCACTCTCTGTCCTTAGCTCAGAGCATTTTCTTTGCACCCCGTGACTACATGCACTCAACCTCTTCCGTTATGTAGGTTGCCAGGTTTCAGACCAACACAAAAAAAAAGGGCGAAATTTTAAGAAATTTAGTTTCACATTTCGGCGACTGTGAAGAATACTGTCGTCTGGGAAGTCGCGCTATGTAATCTGATAGAAGTGCACCGACGTTTCGGAGGAAGCTGCTATTTGCTTGGTTTTTCCTTCGAGGGGCAGTACATTTCTCTTAAAACTGGGTGAGCTTCTACTGGAATACACGGCGTTGCATTCAGAAGATAAGCCTGGTATTCTTCACGTGAAAATTTGTATTTGTGCATTTCAATATTTGATCCTTTTAATGGCTCATAGAAAAATGAAACATTCTAAACAGAAAATTAGCACGGTATCCTAGCGGTCTAAGGCATGCAATATCTTCGCTCACTCGGAAGCCGGGATCGTGTGTTCGCATCTGTTTCCTCTGAGGTACGAACTGAATTCTTATATATTATTCTTATACATTGCCGGCCACGGTAGCCGAGCCGTCTAAGGCATTCACTGTCTTCGCTAGCTCGGAAATCGGAATCGTGGGTTAGAATCCCATTCAGGGCATGGATGTTCAGTGTTTGAACATGTATGTGTGAGTGTGTGAATTTTATATGTGTTTGTGTACAGGTAGAGGCCTTACGACTAGCTGATCACCCTCCCAAGGAGTTCTACCGAATGTCTAAGATCTAGTAAACCGAAGTGAAACAGGGTGTTTCATGGAGGTAGGCCAAGGCCCAAATTGGGGCTGTAGCGTCAAAGGAAAAAATGTACTCGTATATGACCAGTTCAATTAACAACACAGTTATTGAATCAAAATTTGAAAAACTTCGGATCTGGATTGGCTTTAATAGTCTGTTCTGCCCAAAAGAATTTCAACTGACTAGCTGTTTACACAAGCAGACAGGTTCAGTTAAAATTTGTCAGAACATAACTGGTTCTCTGAATAAACATGCAACTGAATATACTGATACTGTTCTTGTCTATTTTTATTTTATCGTCCTTGATATTCAAAGATTAGAGTAACAAAATGAATTTGCAAATTTAGTGTTCAGTGAAAATGTAAGATTTCATTCTCTGAAGCCCATCTTCAGTATTACCATTCACTTTCGTCAACAACTGGTTGATATAACAAAAGCGAGTGTGTCTACTCCATGTTCAGTTCAATGCGTATCTTACACTGAGGATACAGATCAGAGTTTAAGATATCTTCTTGAAAAATTACTTAGTAAAAATGTTAAGTCTTATGTTTTTTGTGTAGGTCTGTCTTTACAGTTCGTTCAGCCAGTGCTAATATTTAAAACCCTGTTAACAACATAATTTTTCTCGCGAGGCTCTTAGAGACCAATTGCCGTGCACTGGAATTTACTACTCTCTCCCTTTACATCTTTGAGACATTAAATGCTTTAATCTACAGAGTAATGAGGAAGAAGATACTAAATTTTGTGATTGGTTGCTGTTCTCTTTGAAAAGGAGAGTGGAGTTGTTTGCAATCACCCAGACCCCTGGAGGACGGAATTGTGTGAGAAATTAAATTTGTTTTTTTTTTATTCCTGCTCATAACTTCGAATTTTGAATGTCCAGAGTCCCACATAAAGACGTTAGTTATTATACTGCAAATACACGTGTTTAGATGGATAATTTTAGCTTGAATTTGTACTGTAGAAGGGGATATAAATAGAATGCCGGTTCTCGGAAAGCCCCTGTTATTTTGTGTGTCTGTGATTAAGAAAACATTCGGAAAGACGACAACAGCACACACTCAGAAAGCTAAGTTAGCCGCCTGGCATTTGTTGGCATTCATGTCAGTCTCCCGGAAAGCAATAAGTTTCTGTTGTTTAGCTGCAATGTTATCGACGTGCATTGTAAAACATATAATACCGTTTTACAACCTTCAGCTGCATACTCTGTCATGGCGACTTGGTTTTAGTCGTTAGTCGTTAGTAGTCATGGGGTGGCAATGAAACCCCAAATACGTGAATTACAGGGTCCCAGCTAAAGAGGTCGGATCTTGCAGCAAGATGACCGCTTCATATCCGGACCCAAAATATGTGTCTTTTTCTCCTTGTTCTACATATGACTGACTGGCAACTAGAACTCTCTCTAACACTTTAAAGCCTAGTGGTTACTGTAGACTATCATACAATCTGCTTTAACGTACTAAAACTCTGCTTTCTGCCCAGATAGTGTATATGGAGCATATTTCATATGGTTCTCGCAATAAACGGCAAATATTTCCCTAAACAGCAGTGACCGGTTTGCTTTGTAATATCTTTCCTGTGAAGTACGAACTGGATTTTTATATACCATTTAGAAGAAAATCACTTTTGGTTGGTTAAAAAGGTGGTTCCATTAATTATTAATAAAATTGTATTAATTACAAGAGTTATTTGTAACTGTTGTGGCTGTCTGCAGCCACCTGCTCACGCTGGTTCCTCGCTCGCGGATTTCTTATACCCTGAAGATGGAGGCGGTACATTCCTCCGAAACTTCGGTTAACACAACATCTACAGGGCGCCGTATCCCAGAAGACAGTGTTCTTCATAGTCACCGCCGTGAACACCACATATCTTACATAAAGAAATTAATTTTTAAGCGAGGAAAGAAAGTGAAAATTGTATTGTGTCATTGACATGATAAGCGTATGTTTCTTTTGTTTTCTAAGTAGTATAACATTTCCTTATCGATTATAGATGTAAATATATTAGCAATTTTATGTTCCATGAATTGTTTGTGTCTGTGAGCTATATTAATGTGACCTGACTAGAACGAATTGTTCTCATCTTGGTACTGTGTGTCATGTGAACTTAGGATTTTGTGCCTCTGCCTCGAAATATAAGCAGTGTGGTCACTGAAGTGCGAAGCACTCCGACACTGTAATTGGTGAGTAAATAATTCTGTTCTTTATAACCGTGATAGCTAAACGAACCTTTTCGTTTTATTCCCTCAATATGTTTGTTCTAGATTTTTTTTGACATCAGAGATTATTTTACCTTCCTGTTTTCCATCCTAGAATTATGACTAAAATAGGGCATTAAAGATCATCAAACGTGTTAAAATTTCAGTGACATGAAAATTATATTAAAATCGCCATAAATAATTATGATTAGTAACATAAATATTTTCTGCTCATGTAATTCCTTGTAATTTGAAACTATCCATCATGCTCGATTGATACTTTCCCTTCCTTTTGGTGTATTGCTCATATTCTCCAGTTTCTTTTAACGCGGTTCTTGTTTGTTCCTTTTCTATCCTGATACTTACTTACTTACTCGTGGAGCTGAGCCCTTCTGGAGGAAAAGCCAATTCAGCAGCTACTCAAGAATTTCCCAGCATTTTATGGAACACGAAAGTTCATTACCGTGTTCACAAGATCCCTCCACTGGTCCCTATCCTGAGCCAGATCAATCCAATTAATACCATCCCATCCTATCTCTCTAAAATCCATTTAAATATTCTCCACCCATTTACGCCTTAGTCTTCCCAGTGGTCTCTTTCCTTCTGGCTTTCCTACCAATATCCTATACGCATTCCTCGTCTCCCCCATTTGTGCTTCTATCCTGATACTACTGTATATTAATGTGTATCTTGCCACTGTCTGCGATTCATATCTGGCTGTTAGTATGTAGGTCCAAGTTTCCAGTGACACATGAGACGCACAAAGAAAGCATTCATAGGGCTCTATATTCCCTTATTTTTCTCTCTTTCAGATTCGGGATCAATTGTATTTAACGAAACGTCCTACGGAAAACGCAGCTTCGAAATGTCCCTGATATTCATGTCACTACTCATATTCTCTGTGTTGCTCGGTGTGATTTATTGTTGGAGAAGGCGACATCTGCTGAAGTTAGCTGCAAACTTGCCTGGCCCCCCCACAGTTCCTCTCTTCGGAAATGCTTTGGAATTCAGATCCAAAGATTTCGCCCAAAACTTTTGGACATTTATTGGTTTCATGCAAAATTATGGGCCTGTGGTGAGGATCTGGTTGGGGCCTCAATTGATAATTGCAATTAGTGACCCACATCATATTGAAAAACTTGTAGCACACGATAAATTCTGTACAAGGGGCCCCTTTTTTAGAATCCTAATGAAATCGATGTTTAGGAACGGGCTGTTAGCCATTGACGGAGAAATTTGGAGAAAACACAGGAAAATCGTTACAGCAGCATTTCAGAATAATATCCTAGATAAATTTGTGGACAATTTCGCAATGTATAGCTGTATTTTAGCGGATCGGTTGGATGAAATATCTGACGGAAAGTTTCATAACATTTACATGTTCTTTTGCCAGTGTACCTTGGATGTGATTTGTGACACTGTATTTGGATATAAACTAAACGCCCAAGCTAATAACAGAACTGAGGTCGTTAATAGTATCTTAGGCATATTAGATCATGTTGTTGAGCATCTTGTGAGACCATGGTTACATTTCGATTGGGTTCACAAGTTGACTAAATCGTGTGCAAAGTACACAGATGCGATCGAACACCTAAATAGCATTATAATTGATTCAATCTCACTGAGAAAAGAGAAACATGCACTAATGTTAGCTTCAGGGGAGGACATTCAGCTCGACAAAATGAAAAATCCCCTACTACTTGATACGTTATTGTTAAATGAATCTCTTAACATGGATGATATTCTCGGAGAGATAAGTTCAATTGCAGGGGCAGGGGCGGAAACCACATCATCTACCTGCTGTTTTGTCCTGGCACTCCTGTGCGAGCATCAGCATATCCAGGAGAAAGTGCTAGAGGAACAGAAGGTCATATTTGGGGAAGATATTCAACGACCAGTTACAAGGGACGATCTGCCCCAAATGATATACTTGGAGCAGGTAAGTAGTCTGCTCATTTTAAAATTGAAGTCGGTTCTGTGGGCATGAAGACCACTCGGCAAGTAAAATGTCTCTGGTAAAAAGGGAGCAGTAGCAGTTTATTTTGGGCTACCGGTCCTAGATTCATGGTTCAAAACAGACAATAATAAAGCAATAGGCAAAACCAGAAATAAACATATTTTATATGCAACACTAAGATGTACCTCAACTCACAACGAAAGGAGAAACAGCTCAATAACACAGATTCTTAACGAACTATATAAAAAAGGGGGAACAACACTACCCGGATATCTAAGTACGGCAATATCACTCCAAATTCCCGCTGATAGAAGATGCAGGAAGACACGAAACTTAGCGTTCAAGATTTTAAATACTAAAAATTGTAATAATGTTTAACTCGACCACATTCTATCCTAATTAAAATCTTTATATAAACTTTGATCCAACTTGATGTACTGTGATCAATGTAATAGTATTTCCTCATCATGTTGTTATGCCTTCTGAAGATGGTCATAACTGACAGATACATGTAAAGGTATTCAAATAAATATACAGTTGAGTCACACTGGACTCACTCACTCACTCAAGGAGCTGAGCCCTTCTTGAGAAGCTGCCAATTCTGCAGCTACTCAAGAATTTCCCAGCATTTTATGGAACCCGAAGGTTCATTGTCGTGTTCTCAAGAGTCTTCCACCGGTCCCTATCCTGAGCCAGATCAATCCAATCAATCCCATCCTCTCTCTCTGAGATACATTTTAATATTGTCCACCCATCTACGCCTTGGTCTTCCCTGTGGTCTCCTTCCTTCCGGTTTTCCCACCAATATCCTCTATGCATTCCTCCTCTCTCTCATTCGTGCCACATACCCTGCCTACCTCAGCCTCCTTGACTTCGTCCTTCCTTGGAGAAGAGTATACGTTATGAAGCTCCTCCTCATTATGCAGTTTTCTCCAAACTCCTATCACTTCAGCCCTCTTCGGTCCAAATATTCTCCTCAACACCCTGTTTTCAAACACCCTCAGTCTATGTTCCTCCCTTAACGTCAGAGACCAAGTTTCACACCCATACAGAACCACAGTCAAATTATAGTTTTGTATATTCTAATTTTTATGTTTTGGGTCAGCAGACGAGAAGACAAAAGGTTCTAGATTGGTTGGTAGCAAGCATTACCCGAGTTCAATCGCCTTTTAATATCCTCCTGAATCAGGTTTCGATCTGTTATCGTTGATCGCAAATATCTGAACTGTGCCACATTTTCAAAACCTCTGTTACCTATCTTTATATCATGATTTTGTCCTGCATTTTGGTGACGAGACAGCAACATATACTTAGTTTTCTCTGTGTTTACTTCTATACCAACCTCCTTACTAGCGTCAATTAGAGTTTGTGTGTTTCTGTTTACAGTCACACTGGACGGTGTTGTCAAACCATTCTAAAATATTCTTGGTGTATTTAGCGACGATTTTAGTAGGTCGGATTATAATAACGTCGATCCATAGAATGATTCGAGCAACGCTATAGAATGAGGAAATAGTGACCCAATTTAAGGTACTATCCCAACATACGTGTTGAGGAGGAAAAACACGAGAAATTTTATTCGAGATAGCCAAGTCTCAGGTACAAGATTTTAACACTGGGCCACCCGAATACAAGCCAGGGGTTCTACCCGCTCGACGGCAACATCCAGCCTATCAGCTACTGATAATGTGTTTCTTCACTGTGCAGGTGATCAAGGAAACTCTGCGTCTCTACAGTCCACTTTCCTTTCATTATCGGCAGACTGTGGATAATGTCGACTTAGGGAATGGCTACGTTCTCCTAGCTGGAATTCCTGTAATCGTAACAGCTTATCTTACACACCGGAACCCGGAGTATTTTCCTGACCCGGAGCGCTTCGACCCGGATCGCTTCTTACCTGAGAATTCAACTGGTCGACATCCGTACTCCTATATTCCGTTCGGACTTGGCCGAAGGTTATGTGTGGGTCACAACTACGCCATGATGGAAACAAAGACAATTTTGTCTACAGTTCTGAGAAAATACCGCGCCTGCGCAGTTGAAGGCGGCATTCGTGCTTTGGAGAAAAGCTTTCGTTTCGGACTTATACAGAAACCCGTTCAAGGATTCAGGATCAGTTTGGTACCAAGATGAGCCGCGTAAAGATTCTTATGTGCTTCTGGTACCAAGAAACGTCACTTGGGAGTTCTCAGTTGTACTGACATCTGTATCTCTCACGTAGAAGCACCATGTAGCTCTCCTTATCTAAATATAATAATTAATAAGTATTAACAATTATCTTAATAAGAGTATTAAGCAGTTTAACATGTACGGGGTAAGTCATTTGATTGTCTTTATGTGTTTCAACTCATATGAGTCACGTTCAGAAAGCACACATTATAAGGAAGTGCCTTAAATTTGGTTTAAAATTACGATGTATAAAACAGGTAAAACTATCCCTGCCCAGAAGGAAANAAAGTAAAACTATCCCTGTAGCAGGCCCTGAAGGCCCATATGGTTGTGAGATGTCCAGGTTCCCATATTTTCTGTAGACAATGGGCTCACAGATGGCGATAAGGTTGTCAGCCTTGCGCGCCTGCCGCCCTTTACCCCCCTCCCCCCTAGGAAGATTTCTGGTACTTCTATTAGAGGTCGAGTCGACCCCAGGGCCATAGTGCGGCTGGAAAGATTAGATCAATTGAAAAAAATCATTTAATCGGGACTCGAACCCGCAACATTCCAGCTTGTAGCATAGTGCCTCAACCAACTACGTTACCGAGAATTGTAATCAGATATCACGTAATGCACCGGCAGCTTTGCGTTATGTCTCCTTCTGTTTATGCAGCAACAGCTTCTGGAAGTTCCAGCCCTGACGTTCGATCTACCACAGCTGATGTTACGGATGCAAATGGTATAACGTAGCTGTCTCATTTACATACATAAAGCGAACAAAAGTTCTGTGCTGTTCCGAAGAAGCAAGAGCAGGATATATCAGCGGTGTGAGTGGAACCGGGATGGAAGGGAATCGAAGGCTCCTTTTCTACTGGCGTTTGGGGCGCGGCGTAGCAAACCACTGATTCAAACACTGCTATTACCACACACCCACAACATTGGAGAAAGGTTCACACTGTAAACGCTAGTGGAAAATGGGCGTAAGATGAGAAGCTAGCAAGCAGAAATACGATCATGTCTGATAAGAACTAAATTATTATATCCTTAATCTTTTATCGGCAGCGAGTCTTTCCTCTACATTTAACAACGCAATGACTGACCATTTGATTACATCCCACTTTGTACATTCAGGCATAGCCGAGAGATCAATAATGAAAATAAACTCTGAGAAATATGAAAGAGTGCACTGAATTTAATTAGTTCAAAATAGGGATAAATTTGGTGGAACCGGGGTATCTCAGTATGTACATCATCTGGGTTGAACAGCCAAAGTTCGATTCCAGACAAGGGCAAGAGTTTATTATCCTCTCCATGTTGTCCACATAGGCTCTGGAGCTCAACTAGCCTTCTATTCAGTGTGTACCGGTGATTCTTTTCCTGGAGGTAAGGCGGCTGGAGCGTGAAATTCACCACTCACCTCCATCTAGCGCCAAGGTAAAGAATGGCGGAGTTATAACTCCACTTCCCCAGAAGTCTTCTTGGCATGGAGTTTAATTCATTGTGTACAGTGACAAATTTGCCTCTTCTTTAAACTTCAAGATGAACGCAGAGGTGGTCCTTGCTTCCACGAAACGTAACACATAAAAACAAAGAACGTTCTGAAGAAAGCATTCTTCTGGGATTTGGCACCGTGTATATGTGGTGTTAACCGACGTTTCGGAGGAACGTCGGTTAACACCACATATACACGGTGCCAAATCCCAGAAGACTGCTTTCTTCATAGTCACCGCCGTGAAAGCCTCAAATCTTACAAAGAACATTCTGACCATCTAAGACGCTATTAACGTATCAACGAAGATTCTGCTACATTCAATTAGTTCAAAAGCAAAATATTAAATGAAATAATTGTTTTGACCACCTCTCAGATAGTAACATAATTAAACAGGCGTTGTGGTATAGGTAATTCGTCTACCATGAACAAGATGGTCGTTATGGAATCTCGAGGGACCGAAACTAACGTAGGAGGCTTGAAGTTCAGGTCGTTCCATATTCGAATTTCGGTCCTGACATCACCTATCGTAAAACATGCTATTTAAGGATTTTCCTCTGTCCTTCAAGTAAATTCTGGGATGAGCAGGAACAGTCACAGCCCACACACACAAACACACAGGTTCGCGCTCGCGCAAGAGAATCAACCACACGTCCCAGGACACATACAGATACACACCACCAGTAAACAAATACGCTATATTAAGAGAGGTTCCACATGACACGGCCTTTTACTTTTTGACTTTAAAATTTCCTTTTTTTATTTATTTATTTTTAACCCAATAAAAATAACAAGTTTTGCAAGCGTAAATAATTTAATACATAATGTACGATCAATGTGTGAACAGTGTAAGAGTTTACGTGTAACAGCATACACACCTGACGATGGTCCTTGCGAGACCGAACCATGTCGTATAGTAATGCAAGAAGGACATTAATTAGGATTGGTAACACCAGGAACGGCAGAAAGAAACCTGCACTGAAGACTGCATATGTGTGATTGTGTGTGAGGTAAAGCTGTTCCTGTATTAACTAATTAAGCACTACACCATGAAGGCGTATGCGGGATTTTATGTATAGAATCACACTTTCTTGGCCTCAGCACTAGTTGGAGATGAGTGGTCAGCTTCACACCCCGGCCGCTTTACCCCCGGTACCCATTGTATAGGAGGCTGAGTGGGCCCAGAATCGTTCTGGGTGAAGTGGAGAAGAGAAAATTCTTGACCCTACCGGAACTCGGACTCCAACCCCTCGGTCGTTCAGCCCTAGCCAGGCGCTATACCGACTACTCTATCCCGGCTATGTGTATATAAGTGTACCAGTTAAAAGCCCCATTACTTTCAAGTAATACTTCATGATATTTGTGTTATTGGACACTGCACGGGATATGTAGGTGCAAGAAGCTTTCTTTGTTGAATACGCCTACAATAGATATGTGTTCATGCTTGCTACCTGCTTCACATCGGTTTCTTACTTGTGTTATTCTTCGACCCTGAAAATGGAGACGACATGTTCCTCCGAAACGTCAGGTGACTTTCAGCGGACTACATGGTGTTGTATTTCTTGTGGTAGAAATTTTCGTATCACCGTTGTGAGAATCGTAAATCTAGGTTATTTTCCTGACCAATGGTGACGTGTCACCTTAGCACAACCGATCTGCACGCTAGCGCCATCCATTGATGCTCCTTGTAAGCACTACAAGTCTCCTACCTAGCATCCGATATTTGAGGGCATTTCTTTCGTAGTTTTTTCTTTTGCTTCCTAAAATACTTGTTTATTTTGTTATTTATTTAACGACACTGGCAACAGCTCAGATTATACAGCGTCGAATGAAGGAATGGTTAGCATATAACGAACGATATTGGAAGCGACGTGAAATGAAGCGGCTATGAACTAATTTAAGGTACCACCCCAGCATTTGGCCAGAAAGTACTGGGGGAAACCACGCAAAACCTCAGTCAGGTTGGTCGGCGTTCCCGCCGAAATTCCAACCGGACACTTCTCGAATATATTCAGAAACATTGCAGCTTCTATAATGCTATGTCTCTCTCTCTAGAAATACGTGTATACCTTCCCACCCCTGTAATTGTGTCCGCAGCCAGCTTGGAGTTTCCTGCAGTCATCATTTCATCTTTTAACTTTATCAGCCTTTCACTGCCCTTTACCCCCCCCCCAGGAAGATTCCTGGTACTCATTTCTGTTAGTGGCTGAGTCGGCCCCATGACTATAGTGCGGCTGGAAAGATTAGGGCAAATGAAAAATTCAATGACCTCATCGGGATTCGATTTCGGCATCATTAAATAGCCCACGAAAGAAAGCATTCCACTGTCGACTGCTGGCTGGAAATATGCATCCTCACCCACTGTCTGTCTGATTCAGCCTAGTTACCTATGATAACATTTCATATTATGCAACCATCTTTATTTGTGCAGCATGCAATCTACAACTAAAGTGAACTCAGTGGCGAAGGGAACATTATGAACATAGATATATTTCAAATGTTTTGGAAAGTGCTGCCGTCTATAGCCTTGATACATGAACAGCCTTGCCAACGGAATGCGACGTTCAGCTTTGAGGCAAGCGTCAATCTCAACTTTTCTGTAAATATATTTTACGTGTTGTTTATCGCTTTTACAAATGTCCCTTTGTCTCTCAGAGACGCTCAGTTAAATTTCGAGGACAACGTACGGCCACACAAGTGACGCTCACACGTGCCAATCCGGTGTGGCTCATTACGGTAGCTTCGTGCTTGACGTAGGCAAGACAATTTCTGGTGTTGCATGGCGTAATTAGCCTTCCTATCGCACAATGTACTACTTGGACCAACATGCGAGGTATTGACTGAACCGATGCGGTGTTTGCTGTAATCTCAAGCAGCTCTGATGGCCGCCCAGATATTATTTAGAAATCTTACCCCTTCTGATTTTAGAACAGTTGCTCACGTATTACGAACCTGCAACTGGAGGACTGGTCAGATAATGTCCCACAGTTGTCAGTATTGGATTTACTGAACCTTAACTTTTTTTTTAATTCGCATAGTGGGAGGAGGCGTTCAGCTGAGTCCACTCGGCACGTCGGCCACTGAATGGTCTATTGTACCTGTCCCGGGTGATTATGATGATGAAGAATTTGGTGGAATGACGACTGACAGGGGAAACCGAAGTATTCGGAGAAAAACTGTCCCAGCGCCACTTTGTCTACTACAAATCCCACTTGAACAGACCCATGCCCGAACCCGGGCCGCTGCGGTGGGAAGCCAGCGACTAACCGCTTGAGCTATGGCGCGGCCTTAATTCACCTTAAATAGTATATTAGTTCTGTATCACAATAGCCACTAAGTACTGCTGTTAGTTATTGAGTAATTAAAGGACTGTAAAATTGCTACAGTTTCACAGTTATCAGTCATTTAATTGTGGCTGATAAGGTTAAGTGAATAAGTACGGGATATTAAGGGCATGGGGCGGAGATGGGGTAAACGAGAAATAGATATGTGA